GGCAACCCAGTGGGCAACAGTGTGTATGTGTGTGTTGAGTCCTGGAAGGCATGCAACCGAGGGGAAAGGGGCGGAGAGGGAAGGGGGGCGGAGAGAAAAGGGGGGGGGGGCAACTGATTTGGCATACCTTTTGTAGAGTATCTGTTAAAATGGTTACAGTAAGAGTTCGTGTTGTCAGCAAGGTCAGTTCTGTGGTATAAAAACGTATCAGCACGCGGTTGTAATGGTTCAATATTGGACTGACGGTCTCCCACTCCAGCAACAATGCACAAAGAAAAATTGCTTCTCGGTACCTAAAAGAAAGAAACTAAGCTTTTTGTCACAAAACATTTTTAAAGCCTCGAGCTAGTTTTTTTTTGGCTTGCAGCCACGGCTGCAAGCCCATTTGTTTTGGAAAACTTGTTCCGGTTAGGTGGTTTCCTGCTTACATTTGTTAGTGCATGATTGAACGAGAAACCAACTGCAATCGTGCCAATCGCAACTTTTTGGCCCTTTCCGTCACTCTTCGGTTTAATGATTATAGCCGATGTAGTTCCGATTGCAATCGTGACAATTCGGGCGAATCCGTCATACTGCGGAATCAGGCGAAGTAATATTACGGAAATCTAAGCTATTTTAGTTACTTCGGTAATCCCAGTTTGTTTATATAAATAGGATTTCTATTTTTACTTGATTTATCGGTTTCAACCGTAATAAATTATAAACGAAATTGTTACGTTTCAATTCTTTTTCAAGACGCAAAAGTTAGTTTCTTTTATTATTGTTTTTGTCTGTATTAGTTTTGTGTATTAATTAACATATATACCTTATACAATAGAGGATGGTTACGTCTCCAAAGGGTGGTCTTGCTTACCAAATCACAGAGAATATTAGTGCATGATCGAGTTATATTTAGATCTAATGAACGCAGTGAGGTTATCTAAAAATAGCCCATGCATATCATTAACCTTACCGTATCTGTGGTTGTGTAACATAGTTGATACATGCTTATTAATTGGTACCACGTAACGAAGTATTTTAGTGCATTTACTTGTCCATAAAGATGCTATATAAATGAAATTAGAAACTGCCAACACGAATGATTTCTCTGGAAATGAAATGTTCACACTTGTTTCCTTTTCAGAATGATAGAATAGTTAGTATTTTTATGATTGATTATTTTCTTTTCAAGTTTTATACAATAGAGAATAGATTTCAAATTGTTTTGACAAAAAATATTCGTTTTTACAAAAAAAAAAAAAAAAAAACTAGATAAACACATTATGAAGGCACAACTGTGCAAGCCTTTCCTTTTAAAAGGAAACTTTATTTATATCTTATGTGCGTACTGGTATTTAGTATGAGTGAGACTATTTTAAAAGCAGTGTTGGAGTTCCACACTAAATACCATACCGGGTAAAGTGTTTGAATAATTAAATGCTATAATCTCGACTTTTCACCTAAAGAATGAACTTTTCAACGTCTAATTCATAATATTTTATTCAACATTTTCAATAAATTTAGTACTAAATCTACACTCATTCAATATCCTCTATACTATTGCAAGGGAATGTTTAAGATATAAACTAATTCAAACTTAATGATATATAAATATCCCTTACAGGTGTCCAGGTGTATGTAGAATTTATTGACTTTGTGTGTATTCCTTCATAGTCCACAGACCCTCGTGAAAAAGTACGTGTTGAGAAAAATGTCTTACTTCCGCTTATCCCACTGAAAAAAAGACAAACTTGTATGGTAATAAATAACAAGGACTTTCAATGTTATCCATATTAATTAGCGAAGTCAATTCAAGTCATATGAAAAACGTGTGAAAGATATGTCTTAACCACGTGTATTACAACTTCTCCTTGGAGAAACCATTTGTTTGTTTGTATATGAAAAAAAACCGTATGTTTCGCATATGTTTTACAAGTGATGCATTTTAACAAAAATAGACGATGAAAATATATATAAAATAGTTTTCGTCATCGTCATAGTCGTTTTATAATCGAAAAAAAGTCGAGTAGGTTTTTAAATTCATATACCGGGTCAACATCGTTTGGTGGCCACCTTATTTTTTCCCGCCCGGGGAAAACGCCGCCCCACTTCAAAATTGGGTTTTCGGTAAAACAGCGAACGGCACCGAGATAGAGGGGAAGGCCTTTTAAACGGAAATTGTAAGTTTGGGTTTATTTTTTTTGTCTTTTTATTCATTAAATTGTATTTTTCCGAAAAACGGAAAATGTATTTCCGTTGGGGTTTTTTTAGTTTTTTGTTAAACAAAAAAAAAAATTTAATTTTAGCCGGGAAATTTTTCCCTACAAAGCGAACACGATTTGTAGAATATTGAACTTCCAACCATTAAAATATACCCTTGGGTTTTTTAAAAAAGTGAAAGGGAAAATCAACCCAATAAAACTTTCCTTCGTGCAAAAATTTAATTTTAAGGTTTTCTTAAATTTGTAAATCGATAGTTTTCAAAAGTAGTGGAGCCAAAGGGCAAGAGATGGAGCAAAAGGTTCGATGTTGAGCGCAAGGCGATATTAATTTGGCATAATGGGAGGAGCGTGGTCTATGAATTTTTATATATAAAAGCTTTAGAAGTTAAAATAGATATGATCAAGTGTTGACACTGAGATATATATGCCTTTTAAAGACAACTAATAAGGCGTGATATCCTTCCAACGACTATAGCGTAATGAATGTAATCGCGAAGGTGTCACCTATGACTGCCGTATAGATTCCATTATTTATGTTCCAAATTTGGATGAGGCCCGATCATTGAATCACATGGCGTAAAACAGGGTGCCACTTATTCGAGGTCAATCATGATTTTTGACACGGTTATGTACATTTAAAAACGTGTGTCCGTGCAAATTTTCAGTTCTACCGCGAACAAATGTTTCCGAGCAGGTACATGTAACACGATTGTTCCCGCCAAATGTTATATGTTTTTCGAAAAGTTTGATATTTAAAGTGCAGAACAGAGACAAAATCATGCAATACACGGGGGACATAAAATGGATCACTACTACCGAGTTAATTTTACTATGACTTTCTGTAATTAATAGCTCTAAACGTACATGTTCAGATCAAACACAATAAGCCACGTTTTTATGAATAGAAATACTTTTGTAAGGTGGGGAATCTCTATGAAAATGTTTTGACACAAGTGTCGGTCGTTCTAAGGATATGAGATATGATAAACAAGATTAACAAGGAAAGGCGGCGTTCAATGAACGCCACCCCCACGCGACCCAGCAACAAGAATCGGTGGCAAGGAGCCCAGGAGGCCCTCAAACAAAAACAGGACAGGGCGCAGTGCGAAGCACGGACAGGTCAATCACTAATTATAAAATGAAACATTAAAAGAAATCATAAAAGCTGACAAGGAAAACAAAGAAAAAAGATAAATGACTGCTTAACATGCTCACAAATTAAAGGAGCATAGGGGAAGGGGATACGAGACCCGGGGAAGGGGAGTTATATTAGTGTTTCAGTTATGTTTCAAGATACGTTTTTCTTATTTAACATTGTTGTTTAGTTTACCATTCTCCTCTCAAAGTATGAATGGAAATGTATACTTTTATAATCAAACACTGCATATTGTCAGTACAAATCTTGATTAATTAAAGAAAAAAAAATAAGTTAAAAGAAATATCGTAAAATGTTGTTCCTTTATTCAGAGTATCTATGAACAAAACGAACATAATAAGAAAGGCAGTTCTCAGTCGGTGTACGGACTAAAATTATTAATAATTGAAATACCTAGTTTTAGTAAAAATAAATTAATACATTTTCATATTTCTCCGGCTTCAAATTTTAGTACGTCTATTTTACTTTGAAAGATTTTTTTATAGAAATTCGTAGACTATGCTATTTACACCAACTTAATTTCACCTTGCGCCCAACAACCGACCACCATCTCTTGCCCTTTGGCTCCACTACTTTCGAAAAAATCGATATACAAATTTAAGAATTCCACCAAGAGATGTTTATTTTGCACGAAAGGCTAGCTCTTGTTACGGGTTGATATTTTTGTAAAACACTTTTTCAAAAAATCCTAAGTGTAGAGCGTTTTCATGGTTTGAAGTTTGATATTTAACAAATCGTTGTTCACTTCGTCAGGGGGAAAAGTTCTCCAAGGCTTGATATAATTTTCTTTTTGTAACAACTTAGATCATTGGAAGCCTAAATCAACCCTACACGGAACTACATTTTCCGTTTTTCGAAAAATGAATAACGAGGCAAAAACACAAACAACACTTACAATTATCCGTTTAAATCGGCTTTCCGCTCTATCTCGGAAATGCCGTTCGCTCGTTTTACCGTACACCACAATTTTGAAGTGGAGCGACAGTTTGCCGGGCGAATGTTAAGCAATAGATTTGGTGACGATAATTGAAGTGATGATGATTATGATAAACATTCTTTCATGGTCATCTTAAAACACTGAGCTTTGTACACAGTTATAAGTAAACTGCAATTCGATGTATTCATGTAAAAAGGTATAACTGTCAAGAAATAAAGCGCACATATGGTTCAAAAATGCATGTATGTAGAGAGTAGAATATTAGTAATTCGAATGCAGAAAGTGTGTAGAATATATAATAAGCCACGCGGATTAGTAATTTGAATGTAGAAAGAGTATAGTATAATAGTAATTAATCCGATTGCAGCGAGTAGAATAATCAGTCGCGCACATAATTATTCGAATGTAAAAAGAGTGTAGAATAATCAGTCGAGAGTATTAGTAAATCGAATGAAAAAGGTCTCAACCCGGTACGGAATTAGACCGAACCCATTGTAGTCTATAAAGTAGTTCTTTAAAATTTTGAAATGGCCCAATTTAAGTCATCTCTAGTTAGATTGGTCATAATTAAAGTGTATTTATTGCATGTGTGTAGTTTTTGTGTGTTATATGATGACTTTAAAAGTTGTTTTTTGTGTATTCTCCAGGAACTCATTTATTGGTGGAAGGATTAAAGGCGTATTACCCACCAGCTGTCAGGAGTTTTTAATGTGGTGAAATTAAACAGTGTTACAACAGAATGAAGATTTCTGAAAAAAGTAGATGGCTAACCTATTATATTTTGGGCCTCATTGGACTAAGATAGTGTTAATGTTTAAAGTTGAAGACATTATATAATTCATCAAGAACAGTGGAATCCAGAATTAAGCCTCAAATTTGACTGATTTACTATAGAACAAATAGTACGAAAATTCACCGGGCCGAGGCCAAAAGAGTGTAGAATAATCAGTTGATGGTAATTGTAATTCAAATGAAGAAAGAGTGTAGAATCACAAATGTTAAGTCATTTGATCATTATTAACAGCTGAGTAAAAACTAAATGCATTATCATGTTATCTCAATCAAGTTAAAATTCATGAAATATTTGGAAGAGATTTAGAAAGAAAATAGGTGCATGTGAATTTATAAGCCCCTACTATAAACTTTTTTACCTTTTCATGGATGATATGACTTCCTTGGCATCACTTTGTCTCTCTAAATGTTGAATGTCCACGTAAATCGGGTCATCGCTTGCCTGTGACGGCAACGGTAGGAGAGGATGCATCAAGGTGCGCCCTCTGCCGTCAATGATAAATGAGTAAGAGTTCTCTCCCTGGCGGAAGTAGGTGATATCAGACACGAGATTCGACATAGTAACATCGGAGCAGACGACCCCGAATAAGGAGAGATCAGAATTGTAAACAGGCAGACAAAGCGACGTGAGTAGACCTGAAATAAACATTTTATAATAATTATTAGAATACTGATTGTGACTACAATCTATATGCATGTCACTGCACTTCAATTGATCACCTTGTGCTCGTGGCCTTCTTTTATCACATGACACAAAATATGAACTCTGCTATGAAGCAAACTCGTTTGAATCTGGCATTATTCCCCATAACACAACATAACTTTATGTCTTAAATTATTTAATATCTTTTTTAATTTTATTTGAATTTTGTATTTTTCTTTTTTCTTTTATTTGTTTGATTATATTTTCGCTATAACAATTAAGTGTAAGATATGATTAAATTTTTAAATCAAATATATATCGGGCAACTCACGAATATTGTCTTTACTGTAAGTCAACAATTATGGAAAGCCTTGACTGTCTTATAATTATAAACCTGAACATTGTTATGTCCAAATAGCAATATATTGAGTCAACATTTCCTTATACAATGTGCACTAATCAATATATTGTGTGGATCCGTCTTTATATGTTGTCCACTGAACAATATAAGATGTCAGTGTGTCTTTATATGATGTCAATATATCATTATACGATGTGCATTTTTGAATATATGATTTGGAACCATCCTTATCTAAGATCAAAATAACAATATATTATGTCAGTCTGTCCTTATATGATGCCAATCGGTCATTATATGATGTGAAGTTATGAATATTATTATGTGGAATAATTCTTATATAGAGTCAACATTATATGATGTCAATGTCTCCTTATATTATGTCAATCTTTCAATATATACTGTGCATTTTTCAGTATATTATGTAGAATCGTCTTATATAGAGTCAACTTAACCATATATGATGTAATGTGTGTCCTTATATGATGTCAGTCTTTCATTATATGATGTGCGATTACAAATATATTATGTGGAACCATCTTTATATAGAGTCAACTTTACAATATATGATGTAAATGCGTCCTTATATGATGTCAATCTTTCATTACACGATGTGCATTAATGGATATATTATGTAGAACCATTCTTATATAGAGTCAAAACAACTATATCATTTTCGGCATCATTTCCAAGACAAATGCTCATTCGAAAAGGAAAATAGCCGTAAGTATTTTATTTCTGCACCGATTTCTTTGGGATATGCACCATTCTTCGGAGAAAAATATAAGCTTGCCATAGAATATGAGCCGTTTTATCAAACACTTTGTATAACCTTGAAAGTTGCTTGTATACGAGCGGACTTCAGTTGCAAGCTATTTTGTTTTCTTGTATTATCTGACCTACGCCATGATTTTAAAGTCAAGATTACATCAACCGGGAGTACGGAAGGCAAAATCCTACTTAAATATGTTTATATTGCAATTATTTACGGCGTAAATCTGAACTTTTTCTTCAATTGACAATTATGGCACCAGTTCCAAGCCAAAAATTTGGAGTACAGTTTAAAGCAGTTTTCAGAATTAGTTACAAATGCGAAGAAACATGAATTCCGTTCTTTTTCTATAAGAACGACTATTCTTATAGAAAAGTCTGTTATTTGGGAAACAAATTATGCCTTGCCATTGTAATAACGCAGGCAGAGTCGTTACGTCATGTTCTTTTAACGATGGCGTCAAATAGTAAAACAATGAAAACAATAATTGGGGGGATGGACTCTCTCACTCATGTTCTTAAACATACTGTTGCAAAAAATATATAGTTTGTTCCATTTGCTTGTTTTAATTTTGCGTCATCTTTTTCCTTGTATCATAGTTTTGGGACCTTTCTGCCTAAAATGTGTCAGAGTTAAATCGTATACATGTATATGCACAGTGCATTAACTGGAGTGCAGGTATTAGTTACCCGCACTCCAGAGAGCATGCCTATTCATTGGCTTATATTTGCTGGGGTTTACTTATTGTGACGGAAGAGAAAGGGAAAGCGGTAGAAATGTCATTTGCGGATGCTCGTTCATTGGTTTCTTTTTTCTGGGGTTTCATATTGTGACAACAGGGAGCGTGATTTTATGTTTGACTATGATACAAAAGAACATCAAAACACTCTGCAATCTGATTAATACTCGGGGGCCTCGTATTTCGATGCTCTTTCTATAACTAGGAATGCCCTAACAGAGTTATGTATGCCCGGTATCCCAACCATTTGGCTTTTAAGGACGTTTTCGGGAGTTTTCATATACACATATAGGCAAAATCAAAACTGAGTTTCTTTAAACTTGTCAAATGGTTAGAATACGATAACAGAAACATTTTAAGCGGAAAATGGGATCCTCAATAATAAAATCGTGAACATAAAACCAAAGATTTAAATAGATATTATTTAGTGAAATAATTAAAATACGCCAATATGTATAACTTTAATATGTATGCCACCAGTTCCAAGTCGAACAATTCAGACTATAGTTTAAAGCAGTTTTCAGAATTGGTTGCAAATGTGAAGCAACATGCCTTTCGTTCTCTTTTATAATTATGTTTACCAAGAAAAACATTTTATTATACGATTTTATGTATATTAAATAAAGTATATTAAAGGGATGTGTACCATTATTTTTAAAAGAAATTAATTAATTACAATTAAAATGGAAACTTCCCAATTACATTACAATAACAATTACATGAATTTTCATATTGTAATTAATTAATTACAATTAAATTTGAAAAATAATTAATTACAATCAATTATTTTCTAGTTAAACTGCTTTAATATGAAAATAACATAGTTACAAAGCACACCAGATACAGAAAAAATTATGTTCACTTAGAAAACATTAAATCAAATTCATCAGTCTGTTTTCTGTTCACAATGTCTTGTTACATTTAAAAAACATAAGAGATTCAAAGTTTTTGTCACTCATATTACATTGATCAGGATGCAATAGAGAGCAGTCTCTCCAAGGGCGCAGATGATCCTGCCTGCTTTAATGAATGTAACAATATGGTGTTGAAAATATTTTGTAGAAAAATTGCAAGATGAGTGAATACTTTTGTGAGCCCTTGATTGATACTTTTTACTTCAGGCAAGTTTTAATCTTATCAATAGTCACAAACAAACACTTGCCAGTATATATACCTTAGGCTATATCAATCATGACAATACCCATGAAAAGCTACCTGTGTTAAAATCATTGACAGGTGATTATCAATTATCACTTCTTGGAAGATTATCTATATCAGACAATACAGGTGAAAAGTATGCATTTTACCTAAATCAGATCAACACAGCACAGAATTCAGATTATTTGAATTTAATTGCATTTAATTGACAAATAAATGAAGAATTTCACAAAGTTATTAATTAATTACAATTAAAATAATTGAGTTTTGGCTCAATTAACAAATATTTTTAATTATATGATTTTTCATACTTAATTGTAATTAATAAATTATAATTGTAATTGTAGCCATTCCTGTTTCCAACCAATTCTGAAAACTGCTTAAAACTGTAGTCTGCATTGCTCGACTTGGAACTCGTGGCATACATATTATAGTTATACATATTGGCGTATATAAATTATTTCACTAAATAATACCTTTTTAAATTTAATGTGCAAGATTATATTATTGAGGACCCCATTTTTCCGCTTAAATGTTTCTGTTATCATATTCTAACCACGTGACAAGTTAAAAGAAACTCTATGGAACTGTTTTGATTTTGCCTATGAGTATGGCTACATGAAAATTCACGAAAACGTCCTTAAAAAGCCAAAATGGTTGGGATACCGGGCATACATGACTCTGTTAGGGCATTCCTAGGAAAACAAACAAATGTCGCAATATTAAAACAAGCAAATGGAACAAACTATATATTTTTGCAACAGTATGTTTAAGAACATAAGCGAGAGAGTCCATCCCCCCATTTATAGTTTTCATTGTTTTACCATTTGACGCCATCGCTCAAAGAACATGGCGTAACGACGCTGCCTGCGTTACAATGGCAAGGCATAATTTGTTTCCCAAATTACTTTTCTATAAGAATAGTCGTTATTATAGAAAGAGAACGGAATTCATGTTTTTTTGCATTTGTAACCAATTCTGAAAACTGCTTTCAATTGTAGTCCAAATTTTTGGCTTGGAACTGGTGTCATAATTGTCAATTGAAGAAAAAGTTCAGATTTACGCCGTAAAAAATTGCAATATAAACATATTTAAGTAGGATTTTGCCTTCCGTACTCCCGGTCGATGTTATCTTGACTTTACAATCATGGCGTAGGTCAGATAATACAAGAAAACGAAATAGCTTGCAACTGAAGTCCGCTCGTATACAAGCAACTTTCAAGGTTATACAAAGTGTTTGATAAAACGGCTCATATGCTGAAGGAAATACACTATTTTATGGCAAGCTTATATTTTTCTCCGAAAAATGGTGCATATCCCAAAGAAATCGGTGCAGAAATGAAATACGGCTATTTTCCTTTTCGAATCGCGCAATATTTGTCTTGGAAATGATGAAGAAAATGACGTCCAGGACATTATATTCATAAATGCACATCGTATAATGATTGGTCGGCATCATATAAAGACACATTGACATCATATATTATTCAGTTGAATTCATATAAGGATGCATCCAAATAATATGTTCATGAGTGCACATTGTATAAAGAAGGAGTGACACAACAACGTACATTTTTACAACAATAAGACAGTCAAGGCTTTCCATAAACAAGGAGATGGCATTTACATGATTTATACGGTAAGCTATCTGACCCACCTCGTGTCTGTATCGTGTAAGTTATTAATAAGTATTTGTATTTGTGTTGTGTTGTCACCCCGGTATGACCCCGATACAGAACTATCCAGTCTAGAAATTAGTTCTTTTATATTTTGAAGTGGGCCCAATTAAAATCATCTATAGTTTGATTAGTCATAATTAAAGTGTATTTATTGCATCTGAGTATTTTTTGTGTGTTATATATATGATGACTTTAAATGTAGTTTTTGTGCATTTTCCAGGACCTCATTTGTTGGCGGAAGGATAATACATGTTTTACCCTCCAGCAGTCAGGAGGTTTTGAAGTGA